AGGAGCGGAGAGGCTGACGTTTCGGGCCTAGACCCTTCATCAGAAAAGCTCTCTGCTCCTGTGATGCTGCTTGGCCTGCTGTGTTCATCCAGCCCTGCACCTTGCACTTTTTTTTCCAGTTTGTGCCCTTATATTGAATAAATAACACTAACCCAGGACTCAAAATGTGCCTTCAAAAGTTTTAAAATTTCGGTTGAGATTTTTTTGCTCAATCATATATTGGATGGAAGATATTCTGAAATAGCCTCTTCCCAATACTGAAAAATGCAGTGACTTGTATTTCAACAAATCAGTAACTATTGCATTATTCTGCCATTGTTGACGGAAGACTGCCCAGTTTTGGCTCACAGTCCAGTCATTAGGACAGGAATTGGTACAGAAAAGGCTGCAGTCATCAGCTCTTAAGCAGTGTTTTCATTGTGATCTTCATTCTTCTTCAAATTAAACTTCTTCACTGGCAGGTCACAGCTGTGCTTTTTATTTAAGCTCGAGACACCACTTCTTACACTATATTTACCTGCCTACAGGGTCTCATCCTCTTGGCACAGGTCACATGACTCCAAAAGACTAGGACAGACATTTGTACAGAAAACCATTTCAGTCCAGTATGCTGAAAATCAGATAGAGAGATGGGAATTTTGGTCTTGACCATGGTCTTCATGTAGAAAGCAATTAAATTATATTAGTTTACATGGCTGTTTCATTAAGGGCAGGGCTCTGGTTACTAAACAAATTGAAGTAAAATGCATTCATTAGCAATAGTGCAGAAAGTATATGACTCAAAGCTACTTACAAAGCAGCATGTGCAAAGCACCCAGCACACACACACTCCTCAGAACACGATGACCAGATCATTCAAATCAAGACAAGGCTTCCATTGCTGTAGCCTTGAAGGTGTAGATTGAAAGAAGCTAATTTATTTTTTGTCATAATTTGGAATGACTTTGTTGTGCAAAACTTTGAACCAGAAAGGTAGTGTGAAATACCTTAAGTCGTCCTGATGGATACTGGTAAAAATATGAAAGCCTGGTAAGTCCCTCAAAATGAGGATGACAAGTACTCCTAGCAGTCTTTTCCCATGGAGTCTTTTAACATTTTAGCTACTTCACTGTTTAGGCTGACAAGGAAAGCCTCCTGCTCTGACCAGCTACGATGGGCATGGGTGAAGAATTTACAAATTGGCAATCAAATCAATCAATCAACTGGGCTGCAAAATAAACCTACGCTTCCATTAACCGTCGAATTCTCAGAGGGCCTTGAGCTCAGAGCTTCTGGACTTGAGGTAGGGAGATTACCATTGTGTCACAAGACTTCTCCTGGCTTAACAACTCACAAAATCCATATTCAAAGTGCAAATTGGTATTCAGTTAGTGGATTTCAGCTGACGTGTAGCCTAGATTCAAAAATGAAGAAAATCTGAACACCAGAGGACTACTTCCGTCAGCAGATGTCCTAGCACAGGGCTTCTCAAATTGTGGATAGCAACCCACAGTGTGGTGACAATCTCCTAGCCAGCAACAGCTACTCTGGAACTCCTGGTGAGTTTTAACAGCAGTACCACGCTCCTTTAAGCCTCATGTATCTTTTTAATAAGCAACATGGCCTCATCAGCCAATCTCTGAAGCCTGATTTCTACACTAAAAACGCCAGTGAAAAGGAAATCCCTGAGGGGATTGAGCACTTCATCCACTTCAAGTTCTCACTGTGGGATCAATGCAATTTTCAAGCCGTGAAATGAGGAACAAAATCTGGAAAGAACTGCCCTACAGTAAGAGTCCTTCAAAAAAAAAAAAAAATCAAGGCAGTGGTAATGTTTTAATCATTGGCATGTTAGCATCAGCGTTTTTCCTTTTCAAATAATAGCGTTAGAGATACAGAATATGTATCATGATACCTGCTACAATATTGGTCTGAAAACAACCTTATTCAGTTAATAAACAGCAAGAACTGCTGCATAAATATTGCACTTTCACCACGACTCCTATGCCCTCTTGCTTTTGGCTGACAACCTTTGCATCCTATTAGGCCTCAAATTAAACTTATGACCACATACCTTTGACAGAAAAACTGCCTACAGGTACTGCCACTCCTGGTCTCCCAGCACCTCAAAACTGAGCACCTTTATGCAAACTGCTCTTCCTGGCTTCATCCTTTTGCACTTAGTCTGAATGCTTATCCTCCTGCCTGTGCCCTACGGCAAACTGCACCTTCAGCTACCCAAGGTCCTGCAATTCTCTCCATAAATCCTGTCTGCTTCTCTCAACTTCCCAATTGTTGTCTTAAGACCAACCTTTTTGCAGTCTTTGGTTAATCTTGCTGATTCTGATGTCATAGACAACGAAGTATTAAATCCAACAGCTGTCCAAACCTAAATGTACAAAGTGAATTAATATATTTTTGGCAAACTATTCACCCCTTACCCCAAATTGGCTGCTTTATTTGCTGACATAATGGTCCCCCAGTCTTTGAAATGCTGGAGGGGTTAATGAGATATATTGTATGAATGCAAATATTTCTTTATTTAAAACAATTTTAGAGGCAACTTGTCATTCAAGAACATCTTAACTTGACATGCTGAAGAGTGGAGGGAATGTTTGGTGTGGTACCTGCACATTACACAATATTACAAAGGATGTATATCCATCAGAACTATCATAATCCAAAACATGTTGGCCTGGAATTTGTGGTTACCACTGACCTGGAACAAAGCTGTTCAAAGCAAGCTTTACGATGCAGATTTCACCTTTCCTAACCTTAATTTAGTCTAGGCACCAACTGTACGGATCTCAAATGTCCAACTACTAGTGGGTTAAGTAGTCAATCACATTATAGAATTCTCAGGCACCTGACCAGGAAGTAAAAGTAACTATCAATCAATTTTTATAATTTTATTTTAGAGAAAATATATTTAAAAAAAAAGACTGGGAGATACACATGGGACAAAGATAAAAACTGAAATGCCAAAACTACTTCTCTGATGCTGCTTGGCCTGCTGTGTTCATCCAGCTCTACACCTTGTTGTCTCAAACTTCATAAAACATGTTTTAAAAATCTAGACTTTTACTGAATGGAGAAATTCTGACATTCCACAAATGTACAATTAGGTTTTCAGGGCCAGATACAGTGGTCATTAATTGTGATAAAACTAAGTGCGTGCTAAAAATCTAGCTGCACCACATTAGTTATTTTTCTTTTTGCATGAACATTAATAGGGTTAGAATGTGAAGGTTCACATCAATTAATTTATGACACCTTAAACAATCAGACTGCACCTTCTGGATTCCCCCGGTTAACAGTGTGCACAGATGTCAGTTTTGCAGTAGTATTGGCAAACCTGTCAATTTCAATGTCACAATCACAAAAGTTTGGGTGTTATTGCTAACCTATAGTCAATTCTACTGTATCTATATTTGTGTTACAATTGAAGGCAGCTTTTAGCACGTATGAGTTAAACCAGGTGGGTTAGCAGAGATTTTTGACAGCAGATCATATCTGAGCAATGTGAAGAATCTGTTGAAGGTAGAACAATAGCTTATATTTACGGAATGTTTTTCATGTAATATGCTCTAAGGGACGGCACTGGAGCATTGTAAAGTAAAATGTCACTGAGCAATGCCCAAACCCGCAACCTCTAGTGTTCAGGAGATCAACAGATACACAAGAACAATACAACCTACAAATTCCCGTCCAAGTCTCATATCACGCAATGGTGTGGTATAGTCACCATTGGAGCTATATTGCCATTTTTCATGGTCCCTGGGTCAAACTGCTGGAATTCCCCCACCAACTGCACTGTGCACAAGAACTGCACCAGCTCAAGGTGACAGCTAACTACCACCTTCAAAAGAAATCAGGGATGGCCAACAACTGCTGGCCGTTTCAGATACACCCATATCCCCATGAACAAATAAAAAAAAAATGGCTTACTGGCTTATAAGCTTAAATTTTGCATCATATCACACCTGTAACCAAAATATTAAAGTCAAAAATAAAAGATAATTACACAAAGTTCTCATTTTACAGATCACATACAACTTTCAAAAATGTAATCTGTCACACTAGCTCATATGAAATTACTAACTTGAATTCTTGGTGAAACAACAAAAGGAATCCATATGACCTGAATACTCCCACTTGATTGGCAATTACTGCCATGTTGTTCAATCAGATGTTGATCAAACGCACATTCATTGTAAGTAACAGCAAATAGATCATACTAGAACAGAGTCAGGAAGTACTAATTCATTAGTTTAATGTTGCTAGCATTACATGCCTCCCATTCTTTTCATAAAGTGTTCCAGTAGAACAGGAATTATGTTGACCACACAATCAAACAGTTCAGATTCAATCTGGGCAACATTCAAACCCCAAAATATGAATTTCACAACATATCACTAAACAATGAATAGTTAACAAAGCAAACCATTAGCTTTTAAAATTTAAAACACTGAAATTGTTAGCAATTTGTGATTCACAATAGAAGAAAGCAGAAAGGAACAATTCAACACTATACAATTAAAGAGCTTGCATTTATACAGGATTTTTCATGAACTCAGTTCACCCTAAAACACTTCACATCAAGGAACATTTTGGAAAATGCAATTTGTTTTAATACAAGGAGCTACCATATACGAACATGTACAAAAATTTAGCCACCTTAGCCTTGCTGCTCATTTTACAGCCAAACATAACCTTTATTGTACAGCATGATGGAGAACATTATACTTTTCCCACCCCTCTCCTGGAAGTCCTGAATCCTTTTAAGGAATGACGCCTATGGCAGTCCACCACCACATTCATTCGCAAGTCTTCTTATTTCAGCCTTGGGAGTGTCAATAAAGAGAATGGATCATGGCAGTTGACACAATGAAGCCATTTCCCATACTTACCTGTCATCCAAATACTTCTATATGCAGTTTACAGCAAACATCACTGGGTACTGGATTAGTGATTGATGTAACCTTTGGGAAATGAATAAATTTTCCCATTTCAATCACCTAAGATCAGCACCACATTCTTTCAGGGTCAGGTATAATACATTTGGGGATAGACTAAAATTTTCTTGTACTGTCTCATGACGTATTCTGAACCCCAGCTTAAAAAGGAACATTTACGCCTGTATTCCTCTCACATTTCACATCCGCCTCCCCTTGATTGCCAGGTTTAGGCCAAAATAGGAGCCATTTTCCACAATTCTTCTATCCTTACCAGGAACAAAGTTGAAATCCATTTCACAAATGATCCTTAAACCAAACAACCATTATATGTTGGGCTATTCACCATGCACTGTGTGTTGCTGGCATTTGCCATTCACATAACAAGGGCTCAAACCCATGCCATCAGCTGTCTAATTTCCATTCTCTGGGCAGAGGGTATGAAAGTTAATGGTGCCAAGTAATAGAATACTACAATTTTGTATGGCAGATTTGGTAATCAGACACCAAAGTTGAGAAGGTTAGCTGTATCCCAGGGTTTATTAATGACAGACTGGTCATCCTGGTTTATTATTGAAGCCTTGAAGGAATGGACCTACCTGGGAATCTTGGAATCTTTCTTCTCAACTTCAGGCAATCCTGCTACATCAGATTAGTTGGTCCCAGATGGAGGAGCAGGAAGCATGTCTCTACTGTCAGCAAACGGTGGATTTATAACAGTAAACTCCAGCAATACGCATGGACTGGTAAAGAACTCTAAGCCTAGACTCTTCAAGCTCAGTTGATCTAAGTGAGAGATGATATCGCTCAGTTGATGTAAGTGAGCGATGGTAACCAGAGGGATGCACATCAGTCAGGAAAGCTTTACCTGTCTGGATTTCTCAATAGTTTGTTTTGGAACATCTTCAGCATAGTGAAGGGTTTCCATACGAAGCAGACATGAAGCTGGCCAAGAACTGACAAAGGAGACTTTAATTCCAACAGAATGGGCTGGTTTTGGTTCCAAATTTGAGATACCAGTGTGCAGTCTCTCAAATAACTCGTCAGGTAATTTTGGTTCCAACCCAAATGGTTTTGGGATATGTAACAATTGAAGTTCCCAAAACCTTTTGAAATTTATATGAATAGACCATGGTGAAGCTCGTCATGTGGTGTACAGGGATAAACAATGATTTAATATTTTCATTCCCCCCCCGCCACATTATCTGCCCTTAAGCAGTAAATTGAAACTTAAGCAGTTAGTGCATTGAAGAGCTTGAATCTGCATTATATATACATTAACAAATGTAATTTGCCTATTTTGGATGTGATTACGTTATACATATAGTTTCAGAAATCTATCAAAGTCAGATAGCAACAAGAGAGGCCTTCAAGAGCTATAAGCTAGGATGATTTTGAAAAAACCTCACTGATGAAATGAACTTCTAATGCCTTACACACAGCATCACAATTACTTTTAGTCCTCCTCATTCTGTCTCATTTAAAATATACGCGTGCCTGTGTGCACAAAAACTCTGAGCAGAAACTTAATTAGGTCAACAACTTTCTTTTTTACTGCAAGACTGGCAACAGCCAAAGGTTTAGCAACTCATGAATTAGACCATGCAGTGTCTTAAAGCCAAACATATACTTCTATACTTAGCTTCCACTAAGTAGTATACAAGCAGATACTTCAAATAGAAGAAACAAACAATGGCGAGCTTTAAACTGAAATTACAGTGCTATTACAAATAAATTTGCTAAAGTGACACCTGTTCGATGCATATAGCCGTACCTTCATAAACACATTTAAGAAAATAGGTTTGCTCACGACTGCACTTATACTGACAACCAGATGGCAATTTTGGTGCAGAAAAAGAATTCAAACCCACCCGAGTCTATGTTCACGTGTTCATCTGTCGCCAAAAGAGTGAAAAAAAAAAACAAAGGTTTTATAAGTTTACAAATATTTGAAAGAATTCCAAAAAACTGAATGTAAAAACAAAACTGAATTAGATTCTCCTTTGCTCTAACACCAGTTTCTACTGCCAACATGTTCTATTGGATGGCAATTGTAAGGTAGGCTTTATATCTGCAATTCTGGGACTTATTTTTTTTATGATTAAAACTGAAATCTCTTCTAAGCAGTGACAACAAAAAAAATGACTGATTTTAAGTAGTACCCAGAAGCAGGAACCAAATAGGATCTGGGAAGTTTAGCTCAATATCGTTGTACCATTATCCAGGAGTACAGTCAAGTTTTCACTAAAAGTGCCAACCAAATTGTTTATGGGAAAACTATTTTCCTCATCTCCCCACCGCCCTCCCTTCAGCACCATCCACATGCCCCTCATGGTAGGATTACTGCCTTTTGGCCTTTTAACGATTCACACTTTCCATTCGACAAAAAGAAAACTGTCTTCCCTCTCTTCTGCCATTTCATAGCAAATTTCAATATTTTTATATGAAGAATGTTTACACTCACAAAAAGTTAAAAGTTCTGAAACCAGAAGATACTGATGAACGAAGTCAAAACGTCTTCGACTCGAGAAGTAATCCCCATCCTTAATTAAATGGATTTTTCTTTTGTTTTACTACTTACTGACACATAGGCCACCTCACAATTTCACTCTCATTCTAAAAGGTGCCAAAGATGTATAAGAATTAACACTTAGAAGTGTTCTTGTAGATGCATTATCAATTCTCTTGTTTTGTTTAGCCTGCCAGCCACTTTACGCTATTGTCGGAGGCTGCAATGTCTGCCCAAGGCCTGGCTCGTACCAGGCACGTGTTGATCTCTAGACAGCCATGGTGAGGTGTGTCCACTGCTCTCGATGGGAGGACTCAGATACCTTTGATATCAGAGATACAGAGGGCAAGTCAAAGTGCCACCTGTCACTAACATCAACGTCGCCTGTAAATAATAAAAAAGATCAATAAAGTACTGATTTGATAAATTCAAAAATGTATTCCTTGAAACAATTACAAAATACTACTTTTAATATTGTCTTATACTTTCCTCCTCCCCACACCTCTTGCAAATAATAAAATCAGAGTTTCATTGATGTTGGGCTATTTTCTCCCAAAAGTGCATTACTTAATGCACAAGCCCAGATGCCAAGCATCAGTGCGATGAGTTGCTTTTTTGGGCCATCAGAATCTGAACTTGTACTGATCATGCAACCAAAATGCACGCTGCTAACTGATGTGCACCGCTGGTTGATATACCAGCAGGCTGTAAAGATCAGATCAATCAGCAAGGACAAAGGATAAATTGCTTTCAGCTCTTAATTTTGAAGTTCATGGTGCGCCACACTGATTGCCTTCCAGGGACGTTGCGTAGGGAGCACTGAAGAAAAGTGAGGAGGAAACAAAAAAAAGTTAAGAACTTGCAAAATGCTTACACTAGTTTTATTTTTCTAAAGGTTATTCAATACATGCAAACATTACCCTACTTTTCTTTGTTAACAATTTGATTCTGCATATGCTTCCAAATCAGGGTGCCCAGACCCCAGGAGATTCCAAAGTGAGTTTTCAGTTTGTTAGTCTTCAGGCTGCTGTATTTGCTGACCTACTAGTATCCACTTTTGCTGTCATTTATTAAGGTGAAATTATGTCGCCACAATAATTCTACTTCCTTTAAACGCCAGTAGCCTTCCAGAAGTTAGGATTGATGGTTCTTGGGAATGCGTCAACATTAGCATTTGAAAACTTTTGGGTTACACTTTCAAACAGTGCAGCTACCCTCTGGCACAGCAAGCAAGTAACGTTCATAGGGGAGCCTCAAAAGGAAGCACTGGCAAATCATTTGATCACACAGCAAAGCTTGATCCTTTCCTCCCCACCAGATACTCGTGTTTTCCACAAGGAAGCTCTGGACACTGAGAAATGGGAACCCTGGATGCTTTACTCCCTCGGATTGCCCAGTTCAGCTGTGGGCTGCAGCTCTTATCCTGGTGATGAATATAAAAACTGAGGACCAAGCTGTTTCATTTAAAATCCTTGCAGAGATATCAAGAAAGAGAGCTGCATGCTTTTCAGTAGCACTCTGGTTCGACAGGTGAGGTTTACATAAGGAAAGCTTGGTATGATGAGCTGGTGCTTTTAAACGTATAGTAGACGTTCAGTTCCCATTATCTGGGAACCAAATAATGTGCATAAAAATATGCATATTGTTGGCAGACTGAATGGATGGATTCAGGGCTAGAATAAGAGCCAAATGAATCCCTAAATTTCCTATGACAACCCTTTAATGAAGCAGACATCAAGCTGATCTTTAAATAAAACAAATCAACAAAACAGTTTTACCCCACAACCCCTATTATCAGATTAACTATACAGAGCATAAAACTTTGCAATAAAACTTTTCTCACTAGAAGTTCTTGCAGCTTTCTCATTTCTTTTACACCATTGATGTTTAAGTAACAAAATCCCACTCTGTAAACCTTCTACATGATTACCAATGGTACTTGTTCCATAAGGTTCCAAAGCTACCTACTGCTATAAAGTTCTCTCATCAAAGTACAATCCTTGTACTGTCACTAATTTGCACCAGCTACTGCTAAGCATGTAGTAACATAAGTAGACAGGGCATCGCATAGCCTGCCTATGTGTCCATAATAATTTTAGGTCACCACTTGTGCCAGGAAAAAAGGATTGGCCTTCACAAGTGAGGGAAAGTAAACATTTGAAGTTTATGATTTACAGAAGTATGAGGTATCAAGTATGGCAATTATGAGTACACGTGTACAAACTCATCAATTATAGCCACAAAAAAATGCTCATAATATGAAGCACAAACACTCTCACGAGGCAGTGTCAATGGAGAGATGAGCAAACATTTTAGCTGTGAAACATACCATATCTGATATATTAACTTATCTATTTTCTCCACAGATGTTTTAACATTTTCTGTCAATTATAGTGACTGCGCACCCAAAGGGGATTTATTTTTTTGCATGACATTCTGTTTAGATTCAACTATGTTCTCTAAGTTAAATTATAATATTTGAATCAAGATTCAGTGCTATCTAGCAATGGAAAGATTGGCTGCAAAGTCCTGGAAACAGATATCAGTCAGCAATAAGCAAAACAGAATTCATCAATAAATACTTTTGCTCCTAGAACTGAAGGTAAAAAGCAAACGTTTACAGCTGCCGGTTATTCAACTGCATTCAAATAAAATCACTGTGAAGCTTTAATAGTTTTTATGTTGTTGTACTCCCAATAATATTGTATTATCTATTCCTTATTCAAGAAATTATGTTCATAAGTAAGTTCAAAGATTTTGCATGTTGCTGGAAGCATTATTCAATCAAGAAGTTAGAAGAAACTATTTTAACATGCAAGACAATTAAAGTCAAGTTCCGTTGATGACTGTTTTTGGCATCCAGGGGCTTTAATCAATCTTAATAACTAACTCAAACTCCTAATAGTACTTGAAATAGAAGACTGAGAAACAGTAATAACATTGCCAGAAGTACTTCCTTTATTTTGGCTTGGAAGTGATTTTAGCAATATTATTATTGACTACCTTTTATTAATGACCTTTGTATTTGGATATCCTCCAGGCATCCATAAGCACAGAGACAACAAGGTGCAGGGCTGGATGAACACAGCCGACCAAGCAGCATCATAGGAGCAGAAAGGCTGACGTTTCGGGCCTAGACCCTTCATCAGAAAAGCATGATGAAGGGTCTAGGCCCGAAACATCAGCCTTTCTGCTCGGCCTGCTGTGTTCATCCAGCCCTGCACCTTGTAATCTCGGATTCTCCAGCATCTGCAGTTCCTACTATCTCTGATCCATAAGCATAAGTTTTATTTGTTATATATTCACAGATGGGAAACTATTACAGTCTTCACAGTCAAATAATGGATCTAACTGAAAAGCTAGTGTCATTTCTGCTTAATAGACCGTGCTGTCTATTTCCCCAAGCAGTTGCCATTTTCTTTGGTTTTGTATAAACACATCATAGATTAAATGTCCCAGAAATATCCTACACATGGAGTTGCTCCTATCATCATCATATCTATCCACAAAGCCTTCAAATATAGATATTTATTGGGCTTTGCAACACATTGCTATACAATGGCTATTGTATTTTTTTAAAAAATATTAAATTAGAACCTAATGGGAATACTATGAACCTAGCAATTGATTATCACTATAGTAAGCTTTCTTTGCAACTAAACCTAAATATAACATTTATAAAACCTAGTTGCAGAGATAGTAGGAACTGCCGATGCTGGAGAATCTGAGACAAGGTGTAGAGCTCGATAATCTGCTAATGTGATATACTGTATCCGCTGTTCCAGATGTGGCCTCCTCAACATCGGGGAAACCAAGCTGAAGCTTGGGGACCGCTTTGCGGAACACCTACGCTCGGTTTGCACCAAACAACTGTACCTCCCAGTCACAAACCATTTCAACTCCCCCTCCCACTCCTTGGACGACATGTCCATCCTGGGCCTCCTGCAGTGCCACAACGATGCCACCTGAAGGTTGCAGGAACAGCACCTCATACTTCACCTGGGAACCCTGCAGCCCAATGGTATCAATGTGAACTTCACAAGCTTCAAAATCTCCCCTCCCCCGACTGCATCCCAAAAACAGCCCAGCTTGTACCCGCCTCCCTAACCTGTCCTCCCACCTATCGCCCCACCTCCATCTCCTACCTACTAGCTTTATCCTGCCTCCTTGAACTGTCCGTCCTCCCTGGACTGACCTATTCCCTCCCTAACTGCCCACCTACACTCACCTTTACTGGCTCCAACCCCACCTCCTTGACCCGTCTGTCTCCTCTCCACCTATCTTCTCCTTTATCCATCTTCTATCCGCCTCCCCCTTTCTCCCTATTTATTTCAGAATTCCCTTCCTCTCCCCCATTTCTGAAGAAGGGTCTAGACAAAAGGTCTAGACAAAGCGTCAGCTTTCCTGCTCCTCTGATGCTGCTCGGCCTGCTGTGTTCATCCAGCTCTACACTTTGTTGTCTCATATATAAAACCTAACTAGTGGCTTATCCTGTAAAATTTATCTGATGCCCAATAGTGTTGACATCATTTTATCATCAATTAATTGGAGCTTCTAGCTGCGCAAACTAAAAAAAAGAGTCTGCTGTTCAACTGTGGGGGGGAAAAAATCTTCAGTATTTTAATCAAAGAAACTCAATTAATTTATGAAAACAAGAGAACCTGAAATATAAAGCTATGCAAATAGCTGACTTGAGGAAACAACACCTGCAACTGATATTTAAAAAGAAAAATCACAACCAGTGTCAAAATGAAAAGCTACTCGTGGTCAAAGTACACAGCTATAGTCAACAAAAATATTTCTTTGGGAGGGATAGGAAGAAAATAGCATAAATTGAATTAAGACTTCAATACATAACTACTGAATCTTTCTCTATCTTGTCATTATGTATTAAAATTAGTCGTAAGATCGCTGTTTCAAAAAAAAAAAATCAAACGCACAGATAGCATGCTCCTTGGTATTGTTGGTATCACTTACAGGATATAACTAAGGACCACAGTCTTTGTCAAAATTTAATATCATAAATTAACCAGATTCCCATTTTATCAAAGACTGGATACATCTTATCAGAAAAATAAATGGCTTGTGAATTGGTCTAACCAATTTAAGAAAACTGTATTCTCCCGTAGCATTCATCAGGCAAGTTTTAAAAATGGACATACAACATGCTCTCTTCCGAATGTTTTGCACATTGAAGCCATTGTGATATTACACATATTCAAGAACAAGAAATATCGGAATAAATGATGCATTATTTTGAGAAAGTGACTAATGCTTCATTTTAGCAATTGACATAAATTCATCCTGAAATTCTTATTCTTTCATGGCACATGGGTATCTCTGGCAATGCCAGCACCTGTTCCCCAACCCTAAATGCCCTTGAA